TTCCTTCCTTCCTTCCTTCCTTCCTTCCTTCCTTTTTCTTTCTTTTTGAGACAGGGTTTCTCTGTGTAGTTTTGGTGCCTGTTCTGGATCTTGCTCTGTAGACCAGGCTGGCCTCGAACTCACAGAGATGCCTCTGCCTCCTGAGTGCTGGGATTAAAGGCGTGCACTGCCATCACCACCCGGCTTCAATTTCTTTTTTTTTCTTGAAGTTTTTTATCATACAAGTTTTTCACTTGCTTGGCTAAAGTTACCCCAAGATATTTTATATTATTTGAGGCTATTATGAAAAGTGTTTTTCCCCCTGATTTATTTCTCAGTCTGTTTGTCATTTGTATATAGGAGAGCTACTGATTTCTGTGAGTTAATTTTGTGTCCAGCCACTTCACTGAAAGTGTTTATCAGCTGTAATAGTTTCTCAGCAGAATTTTTCAGGTCCCTTATGTATACTATGGTATAATCTGCAAATAAAGATACTTTGACTTCTTCCTTTCCCATTTGTATCATTCTGATTTCCTTCAGTTGTCTTATTTATTGCTCTAGCTAAGACTTTAAGTACTATACTGAACAGATAGGGAGAATGGAGAACTTTTGTTCCTGACTTTAGTGAAATGCTTTGAGTTTCTATTTAAGTTGATGCTGGCAATAGGCATGCTCTAGACTCCCTTCATTATGCTGATGTATGCGCTTTGTATCTCTCCTCTCTGCAGGGCTCGTCATGAAGAGATGTTAGATTTTTGTCAAAAGCCTTTTCTGTGTCTAATGAGATGATCATGTGGTTTTCGTCTTTCAGTTTGTTATATGGTGGATTACACATTTATTGATTTACCCATGTTGAACCATCCCTGGATTTCAGGGTTGAAACCTACTTGATCATGGTGGGTATTCTTTTTGATGTGCTTTTGGATTCAGTTTGCAAGTATTTTATTGAGAATTTTTACACTTATATTCATAAGGGAAACTGGCCTGTAATTCTCTCTCCTTGTTGGGTCTTTATGTGGTTTAGGTATCAGGGTGACTGTGGCCTCATAAAATGAATTGGGCAATTTTCATTCTTTTTCTATTTCATGAAATAATTTGAAGAGTATTGGCATTAACTCTTCTTTGAAAGTCTGGTAGAATTACATGCTAAAATCATCAGGCCCTGGATATTTTTTGGTTGGGAGACTTTTAATGACTGCTTCTATTTCATTAGGGGTTATAGGTCTGTTTAAATTGCTTACCTGATCTTGGTTTAACTTTGGCAGGTGATATATATTGAGAAAATTATCCATTTATTTTAGATTTTCCATACTGATTGAGTACAAGTTTTTAAATTTGTCCTTATAACTCTCTAGTTTCCTCAGTGTCTGTTGTTACATCCCCCTTTTCATCCCTAATTTTGTTAATCTGGATATTCTCTCTCTCTTTTTAGTTAATTTGGGAAATAATTCCTGAACAGAACACTGTTAGCACAGGTTCTGAGATCAACAATTAATAAATGGAACTTCATGAACCTGAGAAGCTTCTGTATAGCAAAGGACACCATCATTCAGACAAAGTGACAGATTATAGAATGGGGAAAGCTTTTTACACCCCTACATCTCATAAAGAGCAAAGGTAAACATAATATATAAATAACTAAAAATACCCTGTATATCAAGAAAACAAAATAACCCAATTTGAAAAAGGGATACAGATCTAAACAGACAATTTTCAAAAGAGGACACTCAAATGGCCAAGAAGCACTTAGAGAAATGTTCGACATCCTTAGTGAACAGGGAAGTGCAAATCAAAACTACTTTGAGATGTCATCTTATACCTGTCATAACGGCTAAGATGACAAATGAGAACTCATGTTGGTCAGGATGTAGAGGAAGGGAACACTTATCCATGGCTGGTGGGGGTGCAAACTTGAACAGCCACTATAGAAATCAGTGCGGCAGTTTCCTCAAGAAGCTGGGAACTGATCCACCCCAAGATCCAGCTCTATCTACCTGGGGCATTCACCCAAAGGATGTTTCGTCCTACCTCAGAAACACTTGCTTAACCTTGTTAATTGCTGCTCTATTCATAATAGCCAGAAATCTTTAAACAACCCAGATGTCCCTCACAGATAGATGCAAAAAGAAAATGTGGTATATTTGCACAATGAAATATTACTCAGCCATTAAAAAATTAAACCATAAAATTTGCAGGTAAACTGATTGAACTAGAAAAAAAATCATCCTGAGTTAGGTAACCTAGACCCAGAAAGACAAATATGGTACATATTGCTTATACGTGGATGTTAGCTGTTAAGTCAATGATAACCAAGCTATGATCCATAGAACCACAGAGCTTTGGTATAGAGAAGTGGCCTGGGGGAGGGAAGGATCTCCTAGGACAAAAAATACAATAGTTATGGATCAACAGGGGTGGGGGCTGGAATGGGATGGTCAAACAGGGAGTGGGAGGGAAGAGGAGATGGGGGAGAGAATACAGGAGGAAATAGATAAAATTAAGGACCAGTAGAGGGCTAAGTATGGAAACCTAATACAGTAGAAGCTTCCTAAAACACATGTATATATATGTGTATATATATATATATGTGTGTGTGTGTGTATACATATGTGTATATATGTGTATAAATATATATGCTATATATTATATATATATGTGTATATATATATATATGTGTGTGTGTGTGTATACATATGTGTATATATGTGTATAAATATATATGCTATATATTATATATATATGTGTATATATATATATGTATATATGAAGGCAATATAAATGAAATTGCCAAATAATAGAGGAGAAAGAACCCCATTTGGCTATCTCTTGTCACCAAATGAAGCCTCCAGTACCAGGAATGGGTTACATCTAATTGAGTTGTTGGCCAAAGGGGTCCAACAGGACCCCCCAAACAACCCAGGTTGTTGCCAAAGCTATAGTATAGTCTCCCCAAAGAGTCAGCAGGACTCGGTTGCTGAAGACAATACCTGTACAACTCACTGAACATGGAGACCTTGAGCTGGTGCCTGCCTAAGCCTTTAACCTGTGGTACTGGAAGGTACTCTGCTCACTACCAATGAAGTGTAAACACCAACCCAGCTACAAATCCTTCCATCGACAATGGTGTCCTCCCAACAAGCTATGCTAGGGCAACGGTGGCACAAAGCTTGTGGGTGCAACCAACCAATGAGTGATTTGACTTAAGGCCCGCTCCACGAGATGGAACCCATGCCGAACACTGCTTGGGTGACCAAGAACCTGAGACCAGATAGCCCAGGGATCTAAGAGAAAACTAAATACTACTATTCCACTAAAGGTCTACAAATGACCTCTAATGACATTGTGCTATACTCATAGATGAGTGCTTTGTTCAATCATCACCAGAGGAGGTTCCTCCTGCAATCGATGGGAATAAATACAGAGACCCACAGCCAGACAATACGTAGAGCATGAGAGACCTGAACACACTCAGCCCTAAGTGGGATGTCTCCACCAAATCCCTTCCTCCTAACAGGGGCTTTCACTGAATCTGGAGCTGGTTCTCAGCAAGTCCCAGAAATCCACCTGTTTCTGTCCTTGTCCTTCATAGTACTGGCCACACTTGGCTCTCTCTTTTTTTTTAATAGATGCTAGGATTTGAACTCAGGTCCTCCCAATTGTGCAGCTGCTCCTCCCAGCTAAGCCGTCTCTCCAGCAACCCAAACTGCTCAATTTTATTAGAGCCTAGATTGTGCACTTCTGCTTTCGGAATTTGAAGAAGTGTAACTTTTAGTACAGATGATGACAAGGTCTGTGGAAGCAGTGTGAGCAGGACAGCTGTTTGCTCTTGTTTCCCTGTCTCCCTAGCATCCAGTACAAAACAGTACAAACAGTTGCTCAATAAACATTAGGCAAAAACCAATCAACCTTCTCACCACAGCACAGAGACTGACTACTCCCACATGTTGTGTTTGGCTCATAACCAGGCTTTGGAAACCGACATGACCAGTTAATAAAATCTGGGGGACAACATAAACTTCTTCAAATCCAGAAGACCTGGCATGCCCGGATTCCTATTCCTGTATGTCACATGTGGTGACAAGAAGATGCCCTTGAAGGGACATTCACATTCCCGGATGCCAGAATTCTGAAATAGTCTCCAGTACTTGCCTGTGAAGAGCTCTTGCCCAAAGACAAGCTAGAAATCAAGATGTTATCATTACTGGAAGGCCCAAGAGGACTGGCCTGAAGGGCAGGTTTTCACCCGCTGCCTGCCCTCTGGGATAGCACAGCCATCTTCCTCTGGCCCTATAGTGGGGACAGAGAGCCTTAAACTACCATCCCGCCGTGAGCCTATGGCAGTGACTCTGGGACTCACTCTGCTCTTGACCATCATCTTCTCCAGATCCTTGCTGATGTCAGCAAATACTGGCCTCTTGTCTGGCTCCTGTTTCCAGCACTGCAGCATCAGGCGGTACCTGGAGGGAAGCACAGGCAGGTGGTGACACCCAGGCGAGTCTCCACTCTCTAGGCTGTTTCCACACCATTTGCAACTCTGAGCTTCACTGGGCCCAAGGTCATGGCACTGACATGTGGCACGGCCCTCTGGTGGCCTTCTCTCCAGAGGGGTTCACCGTACTTTCCTTACGTCAACAGGAGTACACAGGGTTTGAACCTGTACTCACCATGGTGGCTGAGTAGAAAGCCAAGTCTTTAAAACCTGTACAAAGAGGTGCCGGGAGGTGGTTGCAAACTCTGTGAGTTCGAGGCCAGCCTAGTCTACAGAGGGAGATCCAGGACAGGCACCAAACTACATGAAGAAACCCTGTCTTGAAAAAAAAATCCCCAAAGCCAAGAAGAACAAAACCCTGCACAAAGGAAGAACCAATTGAAGACTCTTAGGGGTGGAAATAAACAATGTCAGGCCATCACAACTTTCTGACTGGGTTTGAGGTTTGCTCCCCAGGTGGGAATTTCAAGCCTGGTTCTGTAATCCTCATCAAAAGCCCATGACTGGAGAGGTCCTGGGCCCTAAGGTAGAACCTGGTGCTGTTATTTTGCTAAATGGTAATGTTGTCAAATTGCTTTCAAAATATTCATATTTATCCCCATAGACCTGGGCTCAGCCTTGGTCAGGGAAACTTCTTCTTTTTTCTTTTGCAGTGAGCTGCAGTCAACAGAGGGAAGCATGCATTCTTAGTCAGGGTGCCAAGAATAAGAAACTCTGCTCCGTTAGTGCTCAGTCCTAATCAAGACATTACTTATCAATGTCCACTCTTCCCAAGCAAGGCTCAGGGAACATCACAGAAGAGGAGACAGAAAGGATGTAAGGCCCAGAGAAGAGGGAGGAGCACTACGGAATGCTGTCTTCCAGACATGGGATGACTGTTGCTCTCATGAACTCAACAGTGGCTGTGGGGACCTGCAGACGACCAGTGTAAGATCAAGCCAGCCAAAATTCTGACATCGAGGGGGTAGATGATCTCTAGGCCCTCTCCCTTACTGGGGGGTGACTGGCAGTGGAGAGTCTCTTTGAGAGGCAGAATCTTTCTCCTCGGAGGGTGTGGCCATGGGTAAGATTCCCATGTTCCAGGGGAGGCCCCATACCCGTGCACATATGGGCTGCACTAATTGGTCTTCATGAGTTATCCAAAAAATAAGACATGAAATTGGAAAGGGGACATGTTGCAGAGATGTGGGGGGGGGGCTGGAGGAGGGGGACAGGGGTAGGTGTGATTATACTGCATTACATACCACTATGGAATCTCAAGAACTTAAAGATTTAAAAACCCAGTTTCTGGCTATCAGTTTTGGCTCTGTCCCACAGCTCTGCTTCCTGAGGAGCTGGGCGTGGCTGAGCTCTCTGGAGCCGTCAGCCCGGGTGCTCAAGGAGGCATCTTCCCGCCCTGGCGTGCCTAACCTTGCTCTCAGCTGGGCACTGGTTTTGGCATGAATGTACCAGAATATCTTCTCCAGTTAATGCCCCTCTTCCCACTGGACTTAACTGCCTGGTATAAAGCATAATGACTCTGGGATTCTTGGGCTGAGGCTGGCTCTGCCCACCTCTGTACCTTACCTCCCTAACACACGCCCTCCCACACATTTTTCAGGAGACCTTTGGCTCTTGCCTGTTCCACCAGCCCTCATGTGGTCAGGGGCCCCAACTTCTATCTCATAACCGTTGATGGCTGCCTGACCTCTGCCCCACATCACCCACCTTATGCAGGGTTAGTGGCTTTGGGCTTCGTGGGAAGGAGAAGAGAATGAACGCTTGTTTTACTTTCCAGGGCCCAGGGCAGGAGTATCAGAGAGGGGCTGGCAATGAAAGTCTACTCACATTTCCTCACTGCAGTTGTCCGGCCTCTCCATCCTGTGGCCCGTCTTCAGAAGATTGAAGAGTCGTTCAGGAGGAATTCCAGGGTAGGGGTTGCCCCCCAGGGTCACAATCTCCCATAGGAGTACCCCAAAGGACCACCTGTGGGAGCAAGGGAACCAGTAAGCAGTTTCCTGGCCCCTGAAGCCTCCTTGGTGAACCCTAGATGTTTGTGTCTCTAGCCTCCAATGCCTAAGTGGATGATACACAGGGATTTTAGCCTCGTTCTGGCTGCACACGCAGGTGCGTAACAAGAGCTGGGCGAGGTCCACCTGCCTACCTAGACCAGCCCCTGGGATGCTCAATCCCCCCCCCCCCCAATGTTGCCATTGGAGCAATGATACTTAAAGGGGCCTGAGATCCCAGCAACAGAACTCAGGGTGTGCTGTGAAATTTTTATAGTCTTGGAAGACCTTTTATAGAAAATATTTAGTAGTAAGGAAACACTATGGGGTGGGAATAAAAATATGATGAAACACCTGGCAATCAAGTATGTATGTGCACACCATAGAAGCTATCCAAGGAGCATCAGGAGGGAGGGGCCTACTGTGACTCAAGGCTATTAGTCTCCTATTGTATTTTTCTTTGGATTTTCCAGTTCTTCTAAGTCAACATTATGTTATCAGAAAACTACTGCTTAAAATTGCATAAGAAAGATCTCTACTTTCATAGCTCACTCTATTCAAGACCTGCATGTCTGCAGATTGCAGAACACTATAGAAGAAAGTTTTGGGGTTTTTGTTTGTCTTTTACAAACAAGTACTTTGTCTTTAGAAAAACAAAACATGTCTTGTCATCTGATGCAAGAGCAACTATGGGCTCCCATTCTTAACCAGTTCTGGATACACCAGTCCACAAACTCATAAAAGACTACCTGCAGTGGACTCCCCAACCCTTGCCTGGGGGCAGTGAACATCACAGGATGCCCTGTCCGAGTCACATTCCTTTCAGCACTTATGGGAGGAGCTGTTTGCAGGCCCTACCCAGAGGAGAGGAAGAAGGGGTGGAGGAAGTCACAGGAGGGAAGTGGGGCTATGACTTCCCCACCCCACCCCACTCCCACGCATTCCACTGTGGTTGGCAGAACTGCTGCCTGGGCCCAGCTATTTGCTGATGACCTCTTAGCCTGGGCCAACACTGCAGATGAGTTTTTGGAACTAGCAGAATCCCCTAGCCAAGCTGTAGAGACAGGCATCATGGACCGAAAACCCCACCCCCCAGAACGGCAACTTCCACACTTACACATCACTTTGGGTGGTATAGATATGATCGAAAAGGGACTCGATTGCCATCCATTTGACAGGAATCCGGCCCTAGAGGTAGTGGAAGAAGGCATCAGCATAGTCTGAGCTCTGTAACCAAGATAGTCAGCCATGCTCCTTTAGCCCAGCTCTGGAGGGAGCATGGGGTACCCGTTCCTGAGGACAGACCAAGTATGCACAATCTTGAAGGGGCCACGGCTCCAGCCTGAACCTTTGGCTTTATTGAAATGCTACTGGGAGTGAAGGCAACCATCCACAGCCCCAGAGGACAAGTTTTCACATGCCATAGCCCTGTGAAGAAGCAGCCCAAGAAATCCACCCATAGGAGAGCTGCAAGAGCTCTGGGCAACCCTGAGTGGGGCAGAACAGTGCTCCCCAGCACAGAGCCAAGAGCTTGTCTTGCAAGATAAATTCCTTTCTAGTATTCCAAGAGCACATGCATTTGGGAAACCAACTTCCAGTTTCCATCTGTAGACTTGGTATGCCATCACCAAGGCTCATCTGAGAAACCTAGAGGGAAGAAATTGTTTGTGTACCAAAGCTGGATTTTTCTTCTCTTAGGGACCTTCCTGCATCTCAGAATGGGCATTCCCTATCCCCACCCCCAGCAGCAGTGTGGGCATCTGACCAAATAAATCCTTTTCAAAAACACTCAACAGCTTTAATGGACACACCTTGTCCTTTATCCTCACCATTTGCCCAGGCCGGCTCCATAAGGAAGTCTTAGGATCTTTTTAAAAAGCATACATCCTCTGTCATTTCTACTGCTCGAACATGTCTGTGATTATGCCCTTAATGAAGTATGACTGTGCATCTGACAGTGCTGTCTGGAGTCTGCAGCCTGTGCTCTCAGGGGCTGCTAAAGCCCCTGGATGCCACACCTGTGCACCTCCACTGTGACCACAGTCCTCCCTGGAAGATACGTATGTGTGCGTGCATGTACATGTGCATGTGTGTGTATGTACAGGAAGTCTCCGTCACACCCTCTGCTGTGTGGCACAGCGGCCCCTTCTACTTCCTCTCTGCAGTTTTGAGATCTCTCGTCACCACAGAAACCCCGAAACAAACACACACAGCTCTCCTAACCCGTGGTAACAGAAAGAACCCATGACGCTTCCAGCAAGGCAGCAGCAGATAAAGCTGTGTGTGTGCTGCTTCGAACGCCTGCTCATCAGGACCCTGAGTACTCCCATGAACTTTTCATGCCTGTGTTGCCACACGGGAACTTTGGGAGAGCAGTTGCCCGGTGACAAGGCAAGGCAGTTACCATGGGAACATGATGATGTCAGTGAACAGATGTCCACACACTGCCTGGATTTGGAGGAATTTCTCAAGACTCCAGAGGTGCATTTCTGGACCCAGTTTTACACAGAGATCCAAGTGAGACGCCTATGTAAACCAACAAAACAAGGCTGGTCATGGGCCTGTCTGTTCCACTTCACTCTCCTAGGAGCAAAAGAGCAGTTATACAGCCAACAGTGGCCTTCTTCCACAGAACAGAGAGGACTGCAGAGACGAGACTAGTTCCATAGTATTGGGAAGTCTTGGGAACTGACTAAAAGCACCAGGGACGGGATAGATTTCCACTTCCCCAGTCATTCTAAGGGTGCCACCCAACCCTGTCAGTACAGCTGTGAGCCCACTGACACCCCTCTCCCCCGGGAAACTTGCTAGCACACGCGTGGCCAGGTACCTTGCTTTTCTTCACATAGGAATCTTCTTCGTAAACATCTCGGGACAGCCCAAAGTCAGAAATCTTCATCTTCCGTCCTTCAGCCACCAAGATGTTCCTGGCAGCTAAGTCCCGATGTACGAGCTGCAGAAAAAAACAAACAAAACAAAAACAGCAGGACCCCTCAGGTTGGCCAGGGTAGGCAGGGGCTGGGATGGGCACCAGGAGTGGCACCATGTCTGCGGCACTCACCTTCATCTCAGCCAAGTACTGCATACCCCTTGAGATCTGCCAGGCAAAGGAGATGAGGTCGCCCATGGTCAGTACCCGCTCGTCCGGGTGGTCTAGGGAGCTGGAATTGCGGCTGCCTCCACTGCCCACGTAGCCAGGCCCAATCTTGCGGCTGTCACGGAGGAATCCCCGCAGGGAGCCATACTTGGCATACTCCACAATGAGAAGAAGTGGCCCTGGGGAAGGAGAAAGGCAGCCCTGGGCATGGGGTCAGGTCAGCCTCAGGCTTCAAGGGAGTCTGGTGGGAAAGGCGGCAGGCTCTGTCTGTTACCCTACCAGCAAGAGGGCAGGCCCAGACCGATGGCTTTATGGATCATGAATCTATGGAAGGCCAACCCACTCCGGGCCCACACTGACCGTGTAGACATCAACTCCTTTCAAGGTACAGTTAAGACTGTCCCCATGGTGCCTGAGTGGGTGGGTACTGTTCTTAACCCTATCCTGGGAGCTACCATGCCCTGCTATTAGAACTTCATTCCTTTTTTCCATCCTCCGTCCTGTAGGCTCAAGAGGGAAAGTCAATGGAGGCAGGAAGGCTTGTGCAAATCTGTCAGCTCAGTCTAGGCCCCAGCTAGCTCTGCACCAGTCTGTCTCCCTGTTCCTGCCTAAACTCAACAACTAGGGGTGCAGTCAGGCCTAGGTCTGGTTCTTTGCCCCCTCCTCACACTCAGTGTGTGCACGTGCACACACCTGCACCAAAAGTCTTCTGGCAAAAGAATGGGCGTGAAAAACTAACAGACGGTGCAGACTTGTCCTTGTCTGAGGAGGTGACAATGATCCTTCCCTGCAGGGCTGGGGTTAGTTAGGGTCACCTGTGGGGGAACAGCACACTGGTTACTCTGTAGGCCGCCAGGATGCACTGCTCACTCTTGGCACTCCCTAGAATGGGTGCCAATGCTGGAGACCTGCCCTCAGCAGGCCCAAGGAGTACTCCAGTAGGAACTCTGGGAGAGGTGCCTGCTCAGCTAGCAGACACAGATCCTCTCCAGACCAGGAGTGGAGCCAGACCAGCCCTCCGGAAAGCAGAGTTAAGTAGTGGGTAAAGTACAGCATGAGGCAGAAGAGGGGGTCCCAGCTCTGTTGGCGGCTGCCCACCCCCTCATCATCCGACCAGCCTTACCGTCCTGGCTGCAGGCTCCATACAGCTTGATGACATGTGGATGGTTGACCTGCTTCAAGAGGTTGAACTCAGACAGCAGGTCTCGGAGCTCACTCTGGGAGGCGTTTTCTGAAACACAGCAAGCAGAAACCGGGCTTGCTACAGCCCTTGGGATCCCCCTGTGACCACGCGGAGTATGGAACAGACACTGCCCACTCCCTCACAGACACACGGCCTGGATTTACATGGAGGCCCTCAGCACCCAGCTGGTTAGGGCTCCTCCCAGTCCTCAGTGTCAACAGCAGCTTCATATACCCCTGGGAACAGAGCCCAGGAGCTAAACATCCACATAAGCAGGACCTTCCCACCCAAGTCTCCAGGGCCACTGCCTATGTGTATGGCACATGTCTCTCTCTCTGGCTGCCAGCTTCAGCAGAGAGAATCCTACAGAGAACACTCCCCTTCCTTTTTTTTTAATTTTTAAAACTTTTTTATTTTTCAAGACTGGGTTTTTCTATTTAGTTTTAGAGCCTGTTCTGGATCTCGATCTGTAGACCAGGCTGGCCTCGAACTCACAGAGATCTGCTTGGCTCTGCCTCCCTAGTGCTGGGACCCCCTTCCTTTTTTCAGTCTTCCCAGGAGGAGAGACATCTTGCCTATGTCCCCACACACCTGCTGGAGAAAGGGGGGACCCTGCACCGAGCCCAGATCTCCTATGATCCGTCCAACACTGGCTTGGAGTCCCTCCGCTCTCTCTAAAGCTTCTACTGTATGCTTGGAGCTTATGCTCCGTTACTGTGTGATCCTGCGCGAATGCACCAGAGTGAAGGCAGCATTAGCATTTTGCGGCACACCACACTTCAGGCCTTGCATTTTCCAAATGAGCTAGAGTGCCATACTTCTTTTGAGTGCCTAACTGTATCTGGCACACTGTGAAGATGATCAGGTTTCACCAAAATCGTATGAAACACAGGTCCCGAGGGCAGCCAGGGTTGGTTCTGATTCTCACTAGGCATTTGAATACGAAGGTAAACAGTGTCGGACACGTGGTTACATGAACTCTTCCTGGTTGGCTAGCCAGCAACACACAGGTGCCTGTGGCATTTAGAATGGTCTGGGATGAAGGACAGACACAGCTGGGAAACAGGGTGCCAGGAGCCCGAGCCAGGCCTGGGAGGCCAGGAATCTGAGGGTTGAACCTGGTGTGAGTGTCCAGGGAAACACACAGGGTGCTCTGTGTGTAGTCCCTGAACAGCACTGGAACTCAGCTATGAACCAGCTACATGAGTTCTTCACCACACAGTCTGGCTGCCGCAGGGCCCTCCTCAATAAGGCTGGAGACCTGACCACGGTGAGGGCTACCCACCCATGCAGCCACAGCCTCTGGTCAGTCACACCCAGTCTAAGAAAGGTACGTGTGCACACTGAGAGCCAGGCCCAGGGCATGACTGGTTACAGGAACAGAGAAGACCCATAGGGTTGCTGGGAGGGGGGTTGGTTATTACAGAGAAGGTCTCCTCACTGAGACCCCAGTGGCCTTGTAAGAAGAATAAATGGGGCAGATTGGGGTGCTGGCAACTCTCAGTTTAATCCCAGAGGGCCTTAAAACGTTGTCAGTGCTGACCTCTTCCCTGACATGGTGCAGATATCCATGTCAGGGAAGCATCCTCCACGAGAGCACGGTCCGCACCTTGCCTCTTCCGAACACTGGCTACGTACCCATGGGGTGCTCAGACTGCAGCTGCCACAGAATGGCAATGGGGGCTCCGCAGGGGCTCTCAGGAAGGAGGGCCACAGCCACCCCACAGATGCGGCTCCCGGATAGGTACCTTTCAGCATTTTCACGGCCACTGTGGTGTATCCTGCTCGGCCTTTTAGACGGAAGGCTGTCGCCTTGACCACCTTTCCAAACTCTCCTTCTCCTAGGGTTTTGCCAAGAACCAAGTTCTTCCGAGGAAATTCCCACTTTGGATCCTCCTACATTGGGGTAGAGACGGGCCATTAGCAGAGAAGGGAGAAAAGTGTGCTGGGCAAAGTTGAGCAAGAAGTCAAGGCCATTAAATACTAACTAACCCCTAACCCTGCCTGGACAAGGGTCAGCATGCAGAGAGCTGGTCATCCCGAGCCACACCCACCACTTCACAACTTATCTACTGAGGACACCACGGCCAGGCCAGGGAGGCCATAAGTGAGTCTCCAAGGGAAGGCTGGATTCAATATCTTAACTCACCCTGCCCCGACTCCACCAAATACCCCAGGACCAGTTAGTCTCAAGTTCTCATCCTCAAGGCCAGATGGGTCCAGAGGTGCTTGTGGCTGACTAGACAGCAGCCCAGACCCAAGTTTTCCCTGACACCGCCCCCACCCAAGGCCCCTAGAGGACTGAATAGACAGCCATGGCTCAGGGCACGGCTCAGCCCAGAATCTCCCCACAGTGGAAACATTCAGAACAACCTCCTTGTGTGGCTGCCTGAGAAAGAAAGGCACCACTGAACCCCTGGGGAAACTCCCACCCTGAAATGTGAGGCAGCTGCTCCCCCCATGGCCTGTCCCATGCACCCCACTTTGCTATATCCCCGCTTCAGGTGACAGGCAAGGCCCCTGAGGGCTTGGGCTCCTGAATGTCTCTTCCTACTGCTGTGCCTTCATGTCTGCTGCTGCCATTTTCCTCTGGTATCTGGCCTGGTGTGAATGGGTGTGTGTGTGTGTGTGTGGGAAGCCCCACTGTCTTTAATGTAGTGTGATTATCTCATGAAAACATTCTGTTCTACTGGGCATTTTAACCTGTGGATTATTATGAAGATAACTTCCTCTTAAGCTGTACTGCTTAACTGAAGCAATGATTTTATACAATAGTGTTAGTTTAAATAGAACTTTGATTATTAAGGGTTCTTAATAAATACATTAAGGGATTATGACAGAGGTTAGTTTCGTGGAAAATATAGGTAAAGGTAGTATATAGTGTTGCCCCCACCCCGATAAAGCAGGAGCTGAAGAGGATAGAAAATAAGAACAAGGGAAGTGTCATGCAGCCGAGACTAAGGAGTTTCTCCTGAGGAGCCATATAGACGTGGCTTAGGTTTAATGATTAAGAAAAACAACTGAGTCCCAGAAGCTAGGATAGCTCAAATTCTTTTCATCTTAATGTTGGGAGATGTCTTCATAGGTTTTGGTGTGCATCATAGCTAAACAAACCTTTAGCTATGACTTCAGGTTAGGGTAAATAATGACTTAAGGTTAGGTTAAGATGTTTTTGTTAAAGGTTTTGAGAAAAAAAAAACCTTAAACAATTTAAGGAATATGGGAAACACGCTGTTTTGTTTTTTTTTTAACTTTTATTCATTGTAATCATTCACTTAAAAAATGTAACCACATTGCAATTTTTATACTGCTTGGAAGATTTTACTGGGGTCTATAAGCTGTAAGGGAAAAAATTAAGAATACACAAAAGGGATACATCTGGATAGAAGAAAAGAAAGGAGAGATGATTGAAAGACCCTAAAGATGTGTGTGTGTGTGTGTGTGTGTGTGTGTGTGTGTGTGTGTGTCTGTCTGTCTGTCTGTCTGTCTATGGGAGCACAGGACTCATTGCTCTCATCCCTTGGGGCTTCTGCTCACACCTCTCCTGCTAGGTAGGACCAAGCCCACACTCCCTGGGACCTCACAGTCCACATCTCAGGTCCCAGCCAGGCCCATCTAAATCAGTACCTGTCATATCCTTCCTAGACAAGCCTGCCTTCACAGCCTAGCTTCCCACTGGAAGGTGACTGTGTGAGGACAGGGATCCCCCTGCTGTTAGCCCTATGTGGCAGGAGATACAGGCAAGGCCACTTCAACCATTTGTGGGTGCCCCAAGGAGTAAAGAAAGCTCGTGTGGCTATATCTCCTCCAACACTGTCCACCTACCTCTCGGGGCCCCTTACCGGGATCTTGAACGAGTCCACAGACACCTGGTTCTCCATGGAATCCAGGGAGGGCCGGCGGGTCCCCGAGGAGGAATAGCTGATTGGGAAGCCCTGGGCTGGCCGGCAGAAGGTCATTTCCGCGGAAGCAATGGGCGGCTTGTGCGCGTGCTTGTGGTAGCGGTGGATGCAGAACGTGGACAGCAGGACCGAGATGATGAAGGAGAAGAGGACGGCAGCTGTGATCACCGTGCGGCACAGCTCGTCACACAGCGGACCTGTGGCAGGGCACAGCGGCGGGTTTCAGCAGTCTGGCGGGGCCTGCGCTGTGGTAGAGGTACTGCCCTGCTGGCTATCCCCGACCACTGTTCACCCTCTCGTGGCAAACCCGGGGCCAGAGCACACTGCCCGGGTCGGACAGCAGAGGCAGTGTGCCAGCCACACCAGCTGTACCGTCTTCCTGTCACGAGTATCTGGATGGCCATCGCAAGATGATAGGAAGAGAGGAAGAAATATCAAAGGCTCTGGACAGAGAGCCCGAGAGTGACTCAAATACCAGCAGAGCGTCACAGCGCCAGAAGCCAAGCGAGACCCTGTACAGGAGGCTGACCAAGTCACTGTGAAGAACTGCTTTTCCGGTCATCCTTCATTGAGAACTTGTGGCTAGAAGATGCTATAGGGGCTCTGACCCCTATTCATGGTTGCACAGAAGGATAACTGAGGCCCAGAGGGGAGGAGGGAGCCTCCTGGGTCTAAGGGCCTCCCCACAATCTCTTCCCTCGGTGGACCTCACCAACGTTTGCTCAAAACTCTCTTTGGGGTTTGGAGAGGTCCAGGGAGTCCTGTGTGGGGCATTCCTTACCCTGGCTGTCCTCTGGCTCACAGAAGCACTTCTTCTCGTCAGGTAAGCAGTAGCAGGTACCATAGCCAGCTTTAATCCCCCGGCGCTCCCCGGGCTCGTGTCCTCCAACAATGCTGCCACCTGAGGACATACGCAGCCTCTTCAGTCTCCTGGTGTGGCCTGACACTTCAGGGTCCCCAGATTGTGACAGCTTTCTCAACTTGGGGTCAGCAGCTCAGGCCCAGCAAAAAGCTCAGAAACTCCTTCACCTGGGCAGGGGGTTCAACACAGTGCCCCCCTACGCTGGCTATGGAAGTGGGGGAACCAAGACTGTTTAGAGTCACTGTTGAGGTCCCAGAAGGCATCATCCATGGCTATCCTCCAGTAACGGTAAAGATGTAGGAAATAGATCAAAGAGAAAGTGGGCCCTGAGCTAGCAGAATGTGGACCACAGCTCATGAGTCAGCCGAGGATAGATAGGTCAGGTTACAGAGGCCCAGTCTTGGGAACACAGCAGCCATCAATCAAATGAAATGGTAGGAGGCCTGGCTTGACACATCCTGCCTGGTTGAACCTACTATTTTTTTTTTGGGGGGGGAGTTTTTTTCGAGACAGGGTTTCTCTGCATAGTTTTGGTGCCTGTCCTGGATCTCGCTCTGTACAACCAGGCTGGCCTCGAACTCACAGAGATCCTCCTGGCTCTGCTTCCTGAGTGCTGGGATTAAAGGCATGCGCCGCCCAGCAAACCTATCATTACACACTTCTGTTCTTTGGTGCTGAGGATGAGCCCAGGGCCTTACATAAGCTAAGCTGGTACACAGCCACGGTGCTATACCCCAGTCTAGCTTGACGCATCAAACAGACAAATGTGGCTTCAGACTGTGTGCGGGTGGGGGCTGGAGCTGCCAAGCTCTCCGCTGCTGGCTCTCCTGCCTCTGTCCTTCCCTGTACACTGATGAAATGCATCACCATGGGCCTAGCGTAGGCTTACGGAGACAGTCCTGGGGGCAAATGTTGTCGATATCCCGGCTCTCCACAGCATCACAGTGGCCATCGGGGCAGGTCCTGATGCTGGGGGAGCAGGTAGAGAAGTTCCTGGTGATTCCTGTGATGGAACACAGAGCAGGCTGTCACCCGACATGGGCATATCCTATCATGGTCTAACTCTGTCATAGTCCCCTGACTAACCCTGCTGCCTCTCTAGGGAGACAGAGGAACACACAGAGTGAGAACTACATACATGTCAGGTATCAGCTGAGGAATGATGGGACAGAGGAGTCTCCCAAGGACTGAAATACTGGGGAGTTCCAGGACTGCAGACAACCTTCCTTTAAGGAGGCCACTTAAAGGCAAAGACCTGTCAAAGCTATACTGCCAGTGGGAGCCTTATAGTGCTAGGCACACTCACAGTGAGGCAGGTAACACCGCCTGGCTGGGACCTTCTGGAAGAACCACTCTGTCCCCTGTGTATCCCAGCTTTGGTCTAGACCCTTCTAATCCCAGAGTGAATCCAACTGAGGAACTTCTGGTTTCAAGGTGGCAAAGCCCTCGAGACCCCATACCCTGCCATCTCTGTTGGCACTGGTTCCATGCGAGGGACAAGGCTCAGAAGACGAGGGCCGGGGAAGTTCATTGCGGGGACTGGCCGACCCTGCAGGAACCCTTATCAAGCGGCCATCCTCACTCCTGGTGACCACCAGTACAGACCCTCCCGCCCTCTCCCGCCTCTCAGACCTACCTTTGCCGTCTCCCTGACGCCACTCACATCTGCCCGTGGGAGAGCCTAGGCCACCACACTCCTCACAGTCGGGCCGTCTCTTGTTGCCTGCACAGGACTTGGGGCAGTCCTCTTCTTCAGCGACGTCTGGGAGTGACAGACAAGCCAAGGTCACAGGGGCTGATGTGGGCCCAGTCTCTAGACCTCCCCCATGGACAGAGTGTAGCAGTTCCACACTGCCCCTGCAGTAAGGCTCCATGGGTTCCGGGGTAAATAGTGTCAGATGAATGGGGTTGGGGCGCTAGAGCCGGAGGCAGGTACGTGTTATCCTCCGGGCTGGGGAGTAGATAAGGGCAGGGAGGATGTGAGGGTGACCAGGCTCAGCAAAGGACACACAGGATGACTGGTTATACCAGAGTTTCAGAGAAACTACAAACACCGGCTCTCTGTGATCGTCCCCAATGCCCCACCCTCCACGGAGCACTCACATGTCCCCTCCACTGTGATGAGCAGTGAAGCCTGGGCCTGCTGGCGGGTCTGCTTGTCAGTGGCTACCACCGTGTACTGATGCTCGGCACATTCAGGTCGCTGCAGGGCCTCTGTGTCATTTACAAAGAGGGTCCCCGAGGTGTCCTCAGCCGAGGTGACCACACCTAGAACGCTGCAGTTGGTGCTGGAGGGCTGTAGCTTGTACTGGACGGAGATGCCGCTGAACTCCTGACAGTTTTCCACACAGACTTTCCCAATCTGGGGGAGAGAAGGGGGGTGGCACCAGTACCCCTTAGCCAGTAGCTGGAGAGGTTCTTGGGTAGACCGAGTCCTAGGATGGTTCCCAACTTAGCCTGGACGGCGACCTTCTTCAATGTGCAGTAGTCTACATCCTCAGAAGCCACAGGCCCACCTACCTGGCCAGCTTTCTGCTTATGGGCACCGACTCCCCAGACACCCACACCACTGGGAATCAGATGAGAGGGTCACGATCCTTGTCTGGTTCTCCCAACTGGTAGAGCACTGTTCCCTAGTCACATGACTGTAATGCTGTCACCTGTCCCACTTGAGGTCAAGAGGCCTCGTTAGGGATTCTGGAAAGAGACCCCTTTCTGAGGATGCCTGGCTCCGGAGCCAGCCACTGAGCCTTTACCTCTTAGCCACTCCAGTGAGCCATGGTTGCTAGGAGCTGCAGCACTGGCTCTGGATGTGGGGCCCGATCTACGGGTGCAGAACAGGCCCACAACAGACCAGCATCGGAAGGCCAGGAGCAGGGGCCCTCCAAGCCCCACTTACAACACAGTAACAAACCAGCCTCCTGGTCGATTCAGTTTCCCCTACGAAGAATGCTCACTTCCATCTTCTCAGACGGTCCTTAAAACCACCCAAGGTCCCCGGCCTCAGTGGGGTTTTAAAAATGATGGAGACAGTAAGTCACAAGGACAACGCCTAGGGCTTCAGAGTCTGTAAAACGTAGGTGGATCTCTCTCCGACTGATGCCTCTAACTCCTCCTCAGGCCCCGAGATTTGTCTTCCCCACCCCTGGCCTGATGTTAACACCCTGAAGAACGGGCCAAGGGATCTTGGTCTACAGGTGAGTCCCTTGTGTGCTGGTGACAGGAGCAGGCCTGGAGCTGACTGTTGGAATTAGGAAGACCGGGGGACAACTGCAGACGGTCCTAAGCACACGCTGAAGACAACTCAACCTGCTGCAGTTGGTTAAGCCATACACGCCCGAACTGCAAAGAAACCCAGAGCGTGCTTGAGAAAAAGCAAGCTAGGACATAAATGCTTGTCACTGGCAGGTATGGGCAGAGGGACAAGCCCACCTCCTTCCCCATCTTCCTTAATGAACATTCATGGCTTATTTTCCACTCTTTTAGTTTTTATTTTAGGGGTGCTCAGGATAGAACCTTGTATGTGCTAGGAAAGCTCTATACCACTGAATCGTGGCCCTGGTCTTTTACTTTCCCATGTCAATTATTAATTTTCCAAAGACAAATACAAACATCTCATTGTAATTGCTCTAGCACACCAACTTATAAAAGAAGACGTGACCTTTGCCTTCTCTCCACAGGGCATTACTGCTCTGATCCACGCTCCAATTCTCCCCAATAAAAATTTGCTTTTGCACTGCTGGCGTGACCAGAGGCCAGTGGTTCCTCAAACCACTTTTCCCACTGGTCACTACACCAGGAACATCTTTCCAAGCAGGCTTATGTAGGGTTACGCTTTTGTATTAGTGAAAATAAGTTTTAAAGACACCAAGAAGTGAGATGGTAAGAATGGAGGGACTCGATCCAGGAGCCAAGAAGGAGCTAGGAGCCCTCTCCGGGGAAAAGGTACAAACGGGCTCACGGATCTACCTTGGAGCCTTCCATGGTTCCACCTGTGCTGACTCGGCACTGGCGGGCTAGGGAAGAGGTGCCATCCACCCACAGTCCTGCCTGCAGCCTTAGGACCCCCTAATCTCAAGTCACGCGGTGAACCATGGCTCACCTGGGCATAAAGGTGAGCTCCTCTGTTCACTGGGAACGAGTAGGCACTGGGTAGGTTCAGGGTGACAGGCAGCACAGACACGTTGAAGTGGAGGAAGAGGACACCTGTCCCAGGCCCCTGGAAGTCTGAGTCATTGACCAGGACCACCAGCTGCAGGACTCGGCTCTCTGAGATGGGGAGGCTCCGGTTGAGAACCAGCTCTGTAGGGGAGGACACAGCAAGACAAACCCAGTTACTATGCTTCAAAGATCATGTCACACACTACACTCCCACTTCAACACACAACCCTGCACACACACACTTATGTGCCCAGGGAATAGGCCTGGTGGGCAGCCTGGCAATAGCAGTGACATTTATAAGCTCGACATTCTACTGAGCAAGGTCTCTGGTGTGCGTGCGTGCGTGCGTGCGTGCGTGCGTGCATGTGTGTGTGTGTACATACCATGTGCATGTGTTTCAGAGATAGAAAGTACACATAGCATGTGTGTGGTGTGTGTTTACATTTAGGGTATATTACATCCTGTGTTTTGATATGTATACAGAGTAAGTGTATATTTTTGTGGGTGTAGTGTGTTATGTGGATATGGAATGTGTGAGTGACATGTTTATTTAACAGTGGGTGTGTGCAGAAGTAGCATGTATTAATGGGTTTGTGTATAGGGTGTCTGTGTAGTGTTTGTGTACACAGAACATGTGCTGTGTTTACATACAGACTTTGGAGGTGTGTGCTCTGTTGTTGTGGTGTGTATGGTATGTGTGTACAGTGTATGCGGTTTTCAGGGGATGTGTACAGAGTGTCCTGAAGTTCTGCAAAGACATCACACCATTGGCTCCTTACTGTAATCGTGCATGGTTGCCCGCACGGAGTTGTTGTTGGCCTGGGCCAAGGTCTCGTTGGGTGAGTGCTCCACCCGGAAGTTCTGCTGGGCCCAGGAGTCCCCTGAGAGTAGTGTGCTTGTGTACCGTCTCACCAGCTCCCCAGATGCTGGCACCACATCTGCATCAAACACATGCAGAGTGGCCACCACAGTGCCCTGAAGGAGCAGAGAGTGCCAGTCAGAGCAAGAACAGCCAGAAGACCACATGACCTAGCACAGCCCAGAATTTACTAAGTATGTTTAGCTGAACTAGTCCCAGGGGCAGATGGTCAGAACTGAATGTTTTGTCCCCAGGGCCTCAGTAAGAGTTGTGAGCAAAGACACAGGACCGCTGGAGTCACCCTAAGGTTGTCCAACAGACGCTCTCTCCCATCCCCAAACCTACTCTCACTCCCTAGGAAACCTGCACCTGGTTTTGGGAGAAGCAACTTCTCCCCCTTGCTACTGGGCCCAGGAGCAGCTGAAGAGTGGCATGATGCCTAGCAGGTGGCAGCAGTACACCACCTAGGCTGGTCAGGGCAGCATGCGCAAGGACATTGTCTCAGAATCACCCCTTGGCTCCTGCCTGCCTCTGAGGTGCTCTTGTGACAGGTTGCCCAGCTGCTGGAAGGGAGCAGCCTCCCCTTCTTGCCAGGTCGGACAAGCCAGATGTTCTCTCTGATGCTCTCCCTGGGGCCTTCCCAGTTAGAGTCCAGTTTACTGCTGGCTATCTGGCTGGAGGTCAGCCAAACAGACAAGACAAAGCGGACAAGTCGAGGGCCACATGACTGGATGGCTGATGGGACAGCTAACCAGATCAAGGTTCAAACGGCCAACCGAGGCACAGGACAGACCGACAAGCAAACGCGACTGTGGACAAACCTCCTTCCGCTTAAACTCCACCACAGCACTGGCAGTGTCCACACCTCCGGAGAAGGTGGGTGCCGAGTCGTCCTCGTCGTACACGGTCACCGGGAGGGACACGGTCACCTTCTCTTCGTTGGCACCGGTGCCCACGCTGCACTCGGCCTCCAGCACATACTTCTCCTGAAGCTCCCGGTCCAGGGCCCAGCGGGTGCTCACCTCCAAGGTGTCTGGGTTGCAGCGGAAGGGCAGACTCTCCTCTGTCACCAAGCAGAAGGGAATCCCGCATGAGCACGGGGGATGGGGTATGCACTGGGATGGGGTGTGCACTGGGATGGGGTGTGCACTGCCTTCCTTATGGTTCCACCCAGAGAGGATGACAACAGAGAAGGACTCTGGCACCCTAGTGGCCGTCCGTCTGTCCCTCTCCAGCTCAACACCCCATATCTAGGTTGCGAAGAACCCACCTGGGTCTCTGGAAGAGCATGCCAGGCAGCTCCCTAATTATCATGCTAATTCCAGGCTCATGCCAGCCCATCGTTCCAACTCAGGGGGTCTGTCCTGGTACCTCTTCTCTCCATAATCCACCACACACCACTCTGACCTTGAACCATACCCAATGGAGGAGTCAGACTAAACCTTTCAAATGTGGAGACTTCTCATCCCCCCCCCCGCCCCCCCCCACCTCCCCCTGCCCCACAGCTCTCCATGCTCCAGGGAAACAAACCCTGAAATGTTCCCTGATAGAACTAACCTGTCCCTGTTGGCCTCTGCTCCTCTCGTGGCTAAATGAACTCCAGGCACAAAAGATCCCACTTTAGCACCCTCTGGTGCCCGAGTTGTCCATCTGGCACCAACCCACCTTGTTTAGTGGCCCCTGCCCTGATCACACAATTAAGAGTAGTCTTTATCACTCCCGGTCCTCTCTGCTTTTCTTTCCTCCTCACTCCTTCCAGAAACCATCCAATTTCCTGAGCACAGCATGGGCTCTAGCCCTCTCTGGAGCCTGCAGGCAGGCAAGATGCCAGCCTGTTTTGTTTCCAGGTGTAGCCTAGCCTCCTTCAACAGTATTTGGCCCATGACAGACACTTGTGAGATATTGCTGGAACATTCGAACAGTGGCCAAAATGACAGGTGGCTCACCCTAAGGGCGGACAGCACCATGCCTGCTGTGCGGCAGGACCAAGGGACAGCCCCAAGGCTGGCACTCACCTTCCAGGAGCCTGTAGGTCACACTGATGTTGGGGCACAGGAACTGCACGGGCAACAGGTGTAATTGGTAGAAGGTGCCCGGGGGCCTGTTCTCCCTGATGCGGAAGGACAGGCCCGTCTCCCGGACGCAGAGGTCCTGAGGTTTGAGGGAGCTACAGGCTGGGAAGGAGTCATTGATGAAGGAGAAGTACACCCGGGCACAGCCTGGCCAATGACATTCGCCCTCCCGCTGGGTTGAGGACCCCAGGAAGACCTGGAGGAAGATGGTGAGCAAGGGGAAGCCACCGTCTGCAGGGAGAAAAGAAGACAGCCCCTTGTCAGGTGAGGGATGGAGGGTAGGCGCAGGGATGCTAGGGTTCCATGTGGTCCACAAGCCTCAGCTGCGACCTCCCCGGATCTGCTGCAGGGTGCTGAGGCCTGAAGCATCACTATCTCTCTTATCTGCCTCTCTTGTCATTCAGGTTTCTGTTGAAACGGCCCCTCCTGAGGGATGCGCTCAAGCCCTGGGGCTAATGTCTCCTGGTCCCTTCAGGTGAGTGACCTCACAGCACAGGCTTCGGTACTGTGTCCTGGCCAGCTGCACTACCTGGCCACTAACATCGAGCACTTTTTCCACAGATACATCCCATGGACATACTTCATCAACACCTAGAGGAAGAATTTCCAGTTAAGCTCTACCTCTGAGGCACCACATCCCAGTTTAGTGAGGTCTAGGCCTTGGCTGAGGCACGCATTTCCCGGTGTCTGGACCTTCCACCTGGCTAGTGGCTCCAGGGTTCTCTTTGCTTGCTCTTAGCCTACATTGCATTATTATGATCCCACAAATGGTCCAGATTGCTGAGTGCTTCATTCCTGACTGGACAAGGTAGTTGTCAAGGATGATTGGCGTAGATCCTCAGGGAATTGCAGGCTCACGGCACATTCCACCCCGGCCTCCACCAAGAGGTTCTCATTCTCCAATTTGCCACTATGGCTCAGAAGGAAGACAGGAAACTAGGGTATATGAAAACCAAGGCAGACCTCAGAGCACTTCCTCCAGGAACTGTCCTAAACCCGCGTGGTTCTCAACCTTCCTAACGCTGCGACCCTTTAACACAATTCCTCATGTTGTAGTGACCCCAACCATAACATCGTTTTGTTGCTATTTAGTACAGTATTGCTACTGTTATGAATCGTAATGTCAATATCTCGACGCAGTCCTGGTTGCGACCTCCAGATTGAGACGCAGTTGTATAGATTGTGCTGGCAGGGACCTGCCCATGCCGGGTGCTCTCCCACCTTACAATACTGGGTGTGCTTGTCAAATAGGTCAGTTATTCTACACCCCCTGGGTGATGCAGCTCACTCTGTATTCACAGTATTCTACCCTGCCTCTTACTTGTGGACAGGAGCTTAAAGATGAGGGAGGCCATGTCTCCGAGGAAGTGCCGGGAGGTGTGAGCTGCCCAGTTCATACTATCACCACCTCATGCCACACAAGCCACTCAGATCCCTCACTCTCCCCTCCAGGGCTAGCATCCTATGCAGCCCTGACTGCAGCTCCAGCCTCAGTTTTTTTTGTTCTGTCTGGGCTTCCATCTGCTCTGCTTCCGTCCTGGACACCTCTGCCAGCCAGCCTGTTGCAGCTGGGGAGGCATGTTTCCTGGGACCTGGTATTCTTCACCAAGTTCCAGGTCCCCCACTAACTTAACCCCCTGGGGTTTTCCCAGCTCCTTAGGATCGCTCTCACAACCTGAACACCCTTAGCACCTCACTGCAAACAGCTTCTGCTCCACATGGAGAGAACGCCAAGTCCTTCGAATGGTTCTCCCAACTCCCAATAGCCTCAGGAGGCAGGCCCAGGAGTAATTAGTGCTCCCCAAAGTCATGTGGGCCCCCCCTCATTAGACTGGATACAAAGCAGCTGCCTTCACCCCACACCTTACACCCTTGCCCACAGAAGCCGCCTTAGGGAAGCCATCCCTAGCCACAGACTGGCAGCCGAGAGGAGGGTAGCTTGAGGCCTGGGCCACAGTGGAGTGGGGATGGGGTGCCAGGCCATTCCCTTACTGCGGATGCTGAGCTGTTCCCAGGAACTGTGGTCCAGGCTCTGGTTGAGGTAGAGAAGGCCAGTGTCCTCATGGATGCGGATCCAATCATTCTCATGCAGCCGTGTGCGGAAGGCGCTGGAGAGATGCTGGCCCAGGCGGAAGCTGGGGACTTCTTCAGGGGCATCCCGGAGGGCATGGACATAGAGCAGGGGTGTGCCAGGTGGCTGGTCCACATACAGCCTCTCCCAGTAAGTATCCTTTGAGAAGTAGAGGCCCAGCGGGGCTGCAGGAGACATCAGAGTGTGAGTGGGGGTGGGAGAAACAGCTTCTTCATGACCCCCCAAAAGATTAATTTTAAATTCGAACCTTAGCAAGAATTTCTCACCTGTAGTCCAAAGGACATGAACATAGGCAAACATGATTGAAAATTACACCACGTTAAAGCAAAGAAAGAAAAAGGAAAAGCAGGGAGAAAGCACAAACCAGCTGCAAAATAGTCCTCAGCTACCCCAGTGTGATGAGCCCCAGATCACACACATGATCCAGGAGTTCAATAAGCTTCTCAACACGCCATCTGGAGCCAGAGGACGTTTCAATGATACGAGACCCTGCCAGACAAGCAGGGCAGGCATCAGTCACCAGAAACAAAGAGGGCACTGTATAGGAAAGCGATTGATCTTTATTGAAATATGCTCTTAAATATGACCCAGCCAAGTCCACTCCATTTATCCAGCAGAACTTAAACCACCCATCCATCAAGCACCCTAATACTACACAGCAAAATGACTTAAGGCAAGCAAGAGCTGGGAACACAGATGCCCTTCAGTGGGTATCCAGAAAGGCAAACTGGTACATCCATGCCATAGAATCCCAATGAAAAGGGATGGACCTTGTTCATCATGTGGATGGGTCTCACAGACATCCTGTCCAGCTGAGGCAGCCAGGCAGAATGAACACACATGGCTGGGATCTCAACAGGATTCACATGATTATTAGGGCTGTTAGGTGGGTATCGATAGGGTTGACAGCCTGGGAGTGGCAGATGGGAAATTTGGGGGCAATGTAAGTATCTTATGTCCTGATGAGGAGACAGGTCATGTGGGCATAATCTAGCTCCTAAGCCTGCATAGCTAAGATTCATGCCTTTCAATCTGTGATGGCTAATCTTGACCACTTGATTGGATTAACCAGCACCTCAGAGCTCAGTGAAGCACACATACACTCTGGGTGTGTCTGTGAGGGCATCTCCAGAAAGGATCAACTAGGGAGGGGATCGGCCCTGAAAGTGGGCTGCACTATTCCAACAGCTGAGGGCCTGGGTGGTATAAGAGGAAAAAGAGAGAGCCAGGAATCTGTTTCTGCTTCCTGCTCACCAGGATGTGCACTGCACTGCCAAGATGGACTTAAACTGTTAGACCTGAAGGGTGGGGGGGACCGATTCCATGACTGTCTGACTAAAGCAAACTGTATTTAGAACTGGCCAGCTGGCGGCCTCTCCCAAAGTCGGGATTTCAGAGAGCAGCCCCTCACTAGCTTTTGAGGTCCCTTTTATGGGGACTGGTTAGGGTTGATAGAAAAGAGCTGTCGAGATAATTAGCTCTTAGCACCTGGACAGGAAAGTGAGGGACTCAGGGCTCAAGGTTGCCTGTGGGGTAGGTAAGGGCAAGAATACACCACGCAGAAGGGGAATCAAGGTATTTTGGAAGACACTTTTTTTTTTTTTTGTAAGGCGAAAGGGCAATCGTCTATCACAGGATTAGGAGTTTAGCAAGGCAACGGGGTGGGCACACATCAGTGGCTCCAGGGGGTGACAAGTTCAGTGTTCAGTGAAAAACATGGTTTGCAGGCTACATCAGGCTTAGGAAAACAAACACTCTAGTCAATTACAGGGACTTAGTAACAATGTGTAACAACGTAGCTCCCTAACAACATAGCTCCTGTTTTGGTTTTGCAAAACCTGGGCCCAAACATGTTTCTCTCCTAAGTTGTTTCTGTGTCCTGTTTTGGTCACAGCTATGGAAACTTACAAGGCGAAGCAAAATTCACTGAAGTACTAATCAGAGAGAGAGCTGCGGATGTTGGCCTTGGCTATAGCTCGGGCTGTTCTGCTGATTTTGTTTATGTCCGGTAACTTTCAGGATAGTGTTTTCAAATAGCGAGAGCTCCTTAGAAGCCTTGTGCCCGCTGATGGTCAGAATTTGAAATGGTGTGGGTGCTATAGGAGGGTCCCCCAAACTACTTAACATAGACTCCCCATAGGATCCAGCAATTCCATCTGAGTATCATTCCAAAGAACTTAAATCCCAGAGTTACACATCCATCTCCTGGCAGCATTAATCACAACAGCCAAGGCAGATGCGCCTATGGATGGGTACAGAGAATGTGCAATGTACAGCACACACACCATTCAGCCTTAATTCTAAATGGAAGGTATTCTGATACTGAGCTGGCTAGTTTTATGTCAACTGGAACAAGCTAGAGTCATCTGAGAGGAGGACATATCAATTGAGAAAATGCCTCTGAAAGATCCAGCTGTAGGGCAAGCCTGTAGAGCATTTTCTTAATTAGTGGCTGATGGGGGAGGACCCAGCCCACTGTGCATGGTGCCACCCCTGGGCTGGTGGTCCTGGGTTCTATAAGAAAGCAGGCTAAAGCAAGTCATGGGGAGTGAACCAGTAAGCAGCACCCCTCCATGGCCTCTTCATCATAACCCGCCTTTCACCAGGTTTCTGCCCTGTTTGAGTTCCTGTCCTGACTTCCTTCGATGATGGACTATGATGTGGAAGGGTCGGCCAAATAAACCTTCTTCCTCAACTTGTTTTTGAGCAGTGTTTCATCAGAGCAATAATAACCCTAACTAGGACAAATGCCATTTGCAAAATCCAACCAAGGGGCTGGAGACATGGCTCAGGAGTTAAGAGTTGTTTCTTGTCAGGCACTTAGGGCAACAAGAAAATAACTACCCAGCCCTAAGCTGCTGCTTCTGAATCACTTGGCTGGAGCCACAGATCGAGGCCAGGGAGGTGGGACTCTGCTAGGAAGCATGGGACAGGAGACAGTGTCAGCCAGGACAGTGGTGGCCTGGATTGGAGCAGACTAGAGAAGATGTAAGTTCAGGAAAGAGAGAGCTCCAAGTGGCAGGCACTAACAGGAAGTCTAGCTTCTCAGGGCTAAGAGATCATGACCTCAGGAGCCCTGTCAGAATTGACAGGTTGAATCAGCTTGTGGATTCCAGGCAAGACTGTGGACTAGATCTGGGGTGACAAAGTGCACTATGTCTGGTAGAGTTGGGGCACTGTCTTGGGCAAGGGCTATACATTCTGTAGGATTATTAGCTTCCTCTCTGCTCTCCAGGAGATTAAGCCCTTCCTCTTCACTGAGTGGCTGGGAGCAACACTGAGTTGATGGACGAGATGTTCTAAGAACAGCGGCTGCTGCCTGCTGCCATTGCAGTCCTCTCCATCCCCACACCTCTCTCTCCATTACCCACCATCAGCACCATAAACACCTGCACAATCATAACCATCATTCCCATCTTCTCTACAACTATCAGCATCCCTTCCGGACCTGTCTGCAGAGTCCACACCCAGTACATCTCCCAAAGCTCTCCCCACATCGTCCCTTTAAGTCTGCAACCCCCACCAGTACAGAGCGGAGGACGCAGTGTGCAGTATCCCTGTCAACACTTGTCTTACTAGGCTTCCAGAGGAGGGTGGCTGGTAGCAGCGGGACAGAAGATACCTGGTACGGGGGTGGAGCTGCTCCTGGCTTGGGAGTCCCTGCTCTCCCTGCACGCCCAGGTATGGTCCTCACATGTCCCATCCCCTGAGCTGGTGCTGTAGGATATCATCTCTCCCGATCATGTTGGTACTGCTCCCCCAGGGCTCAGCCCTCCGAAGCTTCACACTGTCAGGGTTCCCTGCTGCAGGTGGGGCAGGGGTCTACTACACTGCTGAGGTTAGGGATTACTTGGTTACTGGGATAGCCAGACCCCAGGGCTGTCCTCTATACACAGGCCCAGCCTTCTTCTTCAAGGAACATGAGCACCAGGCTTTATCCAGTAGGCACTGCGGCTACCACCTGCATTTCCATACCCACCCAGACCAGCTGCAGCGGCCTCACTGAGATGAAGGATGCTCCCACCCAAATGTGATTTCCCAGCTGCTACTGACTTAATCGTGGGTCTTGCTGGCAGTTTCTTCCGGCTTCTATACAAAGGAAACTGCCAATTAGCTTACAATTAATTTCTTTCCTAGGGCAAGGCCTGGCCACCCAAGTGGTCTAGAGATGGCCGTGTGTGGGAGACCAGACCCCTTTAGCTCCAGGGCTCTCCCTAGTACTTTGTGGCCTTAACCAGTGCTGGCACAACCAGGCCAAGACACGGCCAGCTTTGACCCTGGGGCCTCTGGGCTGTGCAGCTGTCCTCCACATAGCCAGCAGAACAGCATGACTCAGAACATGTCCACATGCTGAGTGGCCACCCCACATACACCTCAAGCTCCTTTTCAACACCCCATCCCACCAGCCTTTGTGCTACCTTCAATATTCACCAGTGAGATGTCCACAGTGCCGTTGTAAGCACATCAAAACACCTAATGATATTAGGATTCCCATCTCACCGAGCAATAAACCAAGACAGAGGATGGCCCCAGGTCACACAGAGTGATTTAGGACTTATCCAGTCTGGCCCAGGCTCCTTTGTTCAGTGACAGCTGTTCACATAGGGCTTTAGAGAAACCGGGTCACAGAGATCCAGGACCAGGGGCCATCCATTCACATGCCTGCAAAGGGGGCAGAAAATGCCACTGTGGAGATTCATCCATGTCTTCCCAGGTTCTCCTCACAAAGGCTGATGCCCCTTGAGGTTTCTCTGGTGCTTATAAACTGGCTCCTGTAGTACTTCAGTAAGATGGAGTCACAGCAGGAGCCCCCCAACAAAGTGAGGGCTCAGGAATGTGAGACCAGGTAGAGTTTTCTCAGGGGTGCCATCCCACCAGACTTTCCTCCACGGAAGGAGCACCCACGAGTATGGAACCCAATGTTAGGCTTTCATATGCCCACCTCACTAGACACAGGAGAACTGACTGAATATTGCGGAGTCCTAGCCTTTAATGGGCAAAAGGTCCCTGAACATGTCAGAGAGTGGATGCTGCAGTCAATACAGAGCGATTCCTGCTTCCGTGTGGATATCAGGCCTGCAATCTACCACGTGTACAGAGGCACAGCTCCTAAGGAAGATGTACCCACATGTGACACTCCTGCACTGTGGCCCCGTGTGCCTAC